CTCATTTAACCTCTTGCAGGCTTTGCTCGTCTCTTGGTAACGGCCAGTTTTTTTCTTGCTGTTCCATTGCCAACAATAACAGAACAACATGTGATCTGTTTGTCCTTGATTTCAAACATCATGTGCAGTACAGAGGCTTTTACCGTACTATTCATTCACATCAAGGAGATTTATGGAGCTTACAAAAAGTGGTAAACCCTGTTTTCTTTATTCTTTTCCCATGTTATACCAATTTACACTGAACAATACCCAGATTCTTGTTTTGTAAAGTACTAGATAATAACTGGTTTAATTGTTCTAGCCAATAAGAAGTTGTTATGTGTCTTGCTGCTAGAGGACACGGCTCAAAACAGTTACAGTAAACAAAGTCCTCTGGTGACAATGACATGCTTTCAATATTAAAAAGAGAGGAGAGAAGAAATGCATGTGTCATCGTCAACAATAACAGAATAACATGCGATCTGTGTGAGCTTGATTTTAAATATCATGTGCAGTATTTGAGGCTTTGACTAATTCACATCAAGGAGATTTATGGAGTTTAGAAAAGTGTTAAACCCTTGATTATAAACACTCCTTCTTTCCATATTACAATGTTTTACACTGAAGAATAACCAGATTCTTGTTTTTAAAAGACAAGATAATTGATTTTGATTTGTTCCCGCACATTAAAAGTTGTTGTGTTTCTTGCTGCTAGTGGACACGGCTCAAAACAGTTACAGTAAACAGTCCTGTTGACAAGGACATGCTTTCAATATTAAAAAGAGAGGAGAGAGGAAAGGCATGCAAAAGAGCTGCTTGTTATGCTGCAGTCTTAAAAAGACCAAAACAACGAAGAGTAAAACTTAAATTAGTTTCTGTTATATTTGTTTATTGATGATAAGACCCAAAGGAGTGTGCACTGTTTTTTTTTAAATCTATGTTTGTTAATCCCAGCAATTTTAAAGGTCCCCTATTATAAAGTTTTTTTATCAATATATTATATTATAGATCCCAGATATATACAGAACATGTCTCTGAAGTGTTTGGCTCCAAACACCAAACAGATCATTGCAGAGTTACCCATAATCCCCTCTGTTTCAGCCCTGTTGCAAAAGTGCTGATTCTCTGTCTGTTACTTTAGATGAAAGTAAGCAGCCCCTCCCCACGCCCCTCTGAGAGATATTTGGTTAGAAAGAACACAATGGTGCTCTAGGAGGAGATTCAGGTGATAAGGGGGGGGGGTTACCTTGGTTGGTGATTGGCTAATGGTTACACAAGCTAAAAAATCGTTATGACATCATAAAGTGGGCAAAATCTAATCAGCTCATTTTCAGACAGGTTTTTATAGAAATGGATCAGGAGAAAAAGTGAGAGAATATTTTTTATTGAAACGTTCAGAGTCTCTTTGCACAGAGGGGACACATGTTGATGTATAAAAGACATGAAAAAGTCGATTTTGCATAATAGGTGACCTTTAATACGAATAATGCTGCTGCTCTGCATTTGAATGTTGATTTCAATTTCGAATCTCAATGTAACGAATGAAGTTTTGAAGTTACTTAGGTTTGTACTTTGTGGTGGTGTGAAAAGTAAGTGAAGGCTTTGCCACTTCTTTTCCGCCTGTTAGGATATAACCACTATGATATGCCGTGCATAGTGCACTTCAGGATATGATATAAGATCAGAGGCTTTCTAGAGAAATATAAAAGGACAGGGAGCAGACCTGTCGTTCACATCTTTCGGGAAACTCGAGGGAAAATCCACACTTGGGGTAAATTGCAGGCTGTAGATTACAGGCTGTAGCGAGTGAGTGCTGACAGAGACTTACAGAGGAAGCATCCAATGGTCAAGTGTCTCTTCTACACTTCCTTTTTTAACAATGCTACAGGCTGTTGTACACACATCAAGTGAAACATGTTTGCTGCCATGTGTATTGTGCCCATAGACTGCATATAAGTATTATATGTTGTCACCGTTTTAAAGCCTTGAGATTATTATTATTTTTTAACCAGAAGTGACACAAGAGGGTTCGCTTGAGTAAAACCGCATTGAGGAAACATCTTAAAGTGGACCTATCATGCTATATTTGAATAATATAGTGTAGGACC